CACCCACCCATAAACTCAGTGTACTGTGTACAAAAATAATATAATACTGAATAAACACTCACATACATTCGTGGATATTAATATACAGTGTACACATATTCATGCGGGGGAAAATCCCCATTTCTTAACCATTATTTTTATTTTAAGCTATAATTGTAGCTGCTGTCCGTTTTATTTTGGCTGTAAATCTGGAAAAAATTAAAAAAAAAAGCTGCTGTATGTTGCGGTGGTTTTCCAATGGATGGCGCCACTTTGACGTGTTTCTCTGCAAGGAAACTATTCGCTCATTGCTGCGCTGAAGACAGTAGACTGTTGCATGAGGGTGCTCTCAATATGCAAGCTGCAACTGGCCTATAAATAGAACAACAGTTAATGATGCAATCTGCAGTTGGTTTGTATACATCTTCACAAAACCGGTTCACAGATCCACCTTTTCTGATAAACTTCTTCCTGAAATCTCCCTGTATGCAGTGTGAGTTGACGGACAGCCATCAGAGGCGGTGCTCACAAGGAACAGACTGAACTTCTCTGACCGCATCCAGGTTGCCTTTACAGGCTGTCGGAAATATTGTCTGACAATCATTACCAGCTCAGAGATGATCAATGTACACGGACATGAATTATGGGTCCAGAGAGAAAAAAATCTTATCTTAAGTAATCTTACTGTCATTTTGTGGTCTGTTTTAACAGATGTAATCGGTATCTTTCACCCTAATGATGGAAACAAATATTAGGTAGCCTGCTTTTAAAATGTGAGAATTATCAATGATCAACTGTCCTGCTTATTAAAGTGGCCCATAAACAACATCCCATAAGTTTATATACAAATCAATTACCTACAAGATCCCTATTATCTTCTCTTCATTCTTCAACAGGACATTTTGTGTTTTTATTGATTTATGTACAGCAGAAACTATTAGTCAGTGTATCAATTAGTCAATAAACTAACAATAAGTAAATACATTGCAGAATTTTGTGATAATCTATTAAATGTTTGAGTAATTGTTTTACTAAAAATGCAGAATGTTTGCTTGATCCAGCCTCTCAGGCAAATACACTGTCTGACTAAACAAAACACGACATCTGTGACATTTCATAAACAACTAGATTAACCAATTACTCGAGAAAACATATCCGAGAAGTTAATCAACGATGAAAGCGCCACACCACGTGAAATCAGGACAGACTGTGATTCGACAGCCAGGAGCGCTATTTTCCGAGGGGCCCGTGAAGGCAGCATCAGTCTCCTGGCTCCTGGGTGTGTGCAGTCAGTTCAACCTAGAGACTGAGACAGAAAACACCAGGCAGGAACATCTCAGCGTGAGTCCAGCGGTGCCTGTCACCTGTCACCTTGTTTGAAAACTTCTTCTCCACCCTGACGGACCGAGAATGGGAAACTACCCGAGCTAGTTTCTGAAGAGGACACACATTCAGGGGGGGGGAAACTGTGCTAAAAATTGCCAGGTTAGTCAATGCTAGCTCACCACAGCCTCCCGTTGACGTACTTAAGGCATCTTTTAGTTAACTACCCGCTGCTAGTCGCCGCTAGTTAACTCATTTGATATGTACAAGTAATTTAACGCGGGTCAGCCTCGTTAGCACGCCAGCTTAGGTTTCCCAATTGCATGCCATCGGTAAGCTATGCAGATTGTCACTGCCCAGCTAGCCAGCTAGCGTTAGCAGTGGAGGTTACAGCTAAAGGGGGTCAGTGTGTGGCTCGCTGATGCTGATACTCGTCCAGTGTAATGTTAGGTTTGGTTACTAGATAATATGGAGCATGAGGGCGTGCTCCTCCGCGAGGCAGGCTAGTATAAAGCGCCACTTTCGGGCTGTGTTTGAGTAACGTATCACAAACTGAGTCGTGAACTTGAGTGTTTTCCCCTTTTTGCTCATTGTTGTTGTGACACTAACGTGTGAAACGGTGGTTTCCTGTGTTTCGCCGGTCCAGGTTGAGCCTTCGGACGCGCCATTTACCTCCCAGAGCAGGAACAGGAGCCCGGCGGAGATGCAGACCTTCCTGAAAGGCCGGAGAGTCGGCTACTGGCTCAGCGAGAAGAAGATGAAGAAGCTGAATTTCCAGGCCTTTGCTGATTTGTGCAGGTATGTGGCTACAACGGAGAGTGACTGTAGAGCATCTAACAGCAACATGCTTGAGAAACTTTCACATTGTAGGGCCCTGCATCATTAACTATTTATGTCACAGTGAATTGAAAGGTGTGCTGACACTGCACTTCCTCTTAATGACTCAATAGAGACTGATTATCATCTCCTCTCGCAGTCTCAGTTTTCTACAGGCCTTTTGCAGTTTTCATTTGAACTTTCGCAAGGTGGCACTAGCAAAGGTCAGGGTAGTGCAGTAGGTTTTGTTTGTCCTGGAGGTAATGTGTGTTTATAGTGGCCTCGGGTGCACGTATAACGGGACAAGCAGCAAAATTGGTCCTTGTATTTAGTTAACTGTCCCGACGCAGGAAAGACAGATTTGTGTGTGTTGAAAAAAAAAAATGAATCTCTGCCCTGTTGACAGATCTAAATCAGAATATTTTCTCTTGTTTTGCAGATCAATTTTGTTACAGTATCTCATATTGATTGCAATTGGACAGAATGTGATATCCCAACGACCAGACGTGGCTTTTATTCTAGTTGTGAAAAATTGTATTCATCTACAAACAGAGGCGTATCTGTCCAAATGCAAAAGTCATAACATGAATTTAGTCAAGGGTGTATTTTGATTGTCCAGCCTTGAGAGGGGTGAGTGTTGTATGTATGTTCTCTTCTTGTAGCTTATCCATCTGCAGCCAAGTAAAATGTTATATAATGTGTTATAAAGTTTGGCATGGATGTTATCAGCAAACATGACTTCAGGGGAGAAGTGAACTCTATCCCTCACTGATTCAGAATCGCTGCCATACAGAATACTGGAATGGAGAATGGCTTCAAGGTATGGCAGCAGCCCTTATCATATCTCATTGCAACATTGCCTCTCTGTCTGTGCCGTATGAGGCCTGCAGTTATCCTGAAAACACAAACGATGGCAGCGGTCAACAGTGAGAGAGAATGGAGGACACTTTAGAGCAATAATGAACTCCGACAACATAACGTGTTGTTAGTTTGCAGGCAATTGCTTTTAATCTGTTTCACCTTTTTCAAGAGAGTTGTTGCCTCACAAACTGACCTGGTTGAGCCAGCACAGATTATCACTGTAATCCACAAAACATTTTTAATCTCTTCATAAACCTCCTGGTTACGTCCCTCCCTCCTTGCATCCTGCCTACCCCCTTCTTCTTTCAGAGGGGGGGGGGAGGGGTTGCCGAGTGTTAAGAAGTGGTGTTTGTGACACAAGATCAAGTCACATTAATCGCTTTTATACAAGACAATAAGAGATGGCAGCACATTCATATGAGAAAGAGGCACAAAGGGAAAGTTGATGTATCATGTGTATGTGATCACAGCATGACTGCTTTTCCCCAGCCAGTTACTGAAACGTGTCCTCTAGGTTCTCCTTTTCCTGACTTATTTCCCCTATCTTATACACTACATAACTACGTAGAAAGCAAAGTCATCTTCAAGAAGAAGACAGAGATTAAAAGATAAGATAAAAAGATAACCTCCCTATGTTTGTGTCCCGTATGTAGATTGGTGACACTGTTTTTGAAGGCTTTTTACCTCTCCAAGGGTGTGTCAGGTATTTGCAAACTGTTGCGAGACATGCTGTTGTGAATTAGTTCCACCTTTATTACCAAACTGCAAAATGGCATTTCACACACCTTGATTTTACTTTACTGATGAGTATGTTCAGGTTTTTGACTGTCAGGCTGTATTATCAAAGTTAAACCAAATGTTTCATACTCTAATAGTGACTGACCAGGTTTTCTTCCTCTCATCATGTGGCATGCAGCTGACATTGTGAGTGCTTCACTGTGGAGTCTGCCCTGTCTCGTGCAGCTGGACTTAAGGGATTCCTGCTGTCAGAGCCACTTGGGTTTATGTTTGTGTCCCGTAAGCTTGCACAGCAATTTAGAGGCTTCCTACTGACTCACATACCTGATTTAGAAAAATGCAATGCCCTTGAGAACTGCCAGGCTGAGCGTCATTGTATAATATGAAAATATTGTCACTTAGTCCTGTCAAGGAAAGGCCACTGCACTCTAGGACAACAAGTCTGATGAGATTACACTGAGCTACACTCACAATGCTTGTAGGTAGTCTTTCACCCAAATGATATAATTTACTGCAGTGACGAGAAGACTGTGATATTCAAAACCTGTGACGAGTATCACTTTAAAAGCCATTAACATGTAAAGAAAGGATTGTTGAGTTTAAGGCACAGACGAAGCAAAGGTCTGGTTGCCCAAACAGGTAAAACGGCTTCACCTGGTTTGCCTATTTTATCTCAGACTTTGTTTGATGTCTGTCTGTTTTTAAAATTGATCACTATAGTTCCTTGTATTGATCACCAGTCACTCCTTAAACAAATATTCACCCTACTCTTATCATTTTGCTTCATCCAAGAGTCAACACAACCTCAAATACACCCACTTGTAAAATCTGCAGTAGTCACATATATGGTGTACCATAAATACCAAACTTTAGGCTTTTTATGGATATATGATACTGTGTGTTAGTAAGATATGGTGTAATAAAACTGCTTTCCATTACACCTCCATGATCTTGTGTGTCAGGCCTATTCAGCAAGTTCTGACCCTGGCCTGCTTCTCTGGTTGGTCTTCTCCATCTCATTCATTCAGCTGGCTGTGTAACAATATAGGAGAGCAGACGATCTCCATATCTGAGATGGGACAAAACTAAAGGCCCCATTCACACCACATGAAACGCGCCAGCTGCAGTATTAAATATCCACATTGTTGTGAAGCAGTGAATGGCTGCAAGGCTGTTACCATGGGGCTGTAATCTCAAAAACAACTGGGCTGGACAGGCGAGTTGGTTGAACTGGTTTTGTCCCCATCGTAAATTTCCCCTAATAGATTATGTGTTGTTTTGGCCATTGAGGTTTCACTTCTTATTACTGGCTGAATCCCATTGACAGATTTGTGTATTTGAGACACAACATTTGTCAAGCTGGTTTCCCCAGAAATGTTCTGGTTTCTTCTTTCTTGTTTGGGCAGTTGGCAGTTGTTCCCCTCAGTGGTGGGGTTAGGATTTATCAAGCATGTTTAAACATGTGTGGGACACCCTCTGTGTCTTTGACATATTTCTAGAAAAAATCTTAAGAAAGGGAAGAAGGAAAAAAAAAAAAAGAAGTTGCATGAATAAAACTGTGAACTGTCAGATGAGAAGAGATGTGTTGAGGTTCCTCATGTGCTCAGTTTAGTGGTGCACCATGGTATGATAGTCACCTCTACCAACAACTCCTCTTATAGTGGTCTGCTGGTTGCTAGGCAACCATTTTTTATCCTAAGACTAGTATTTTTGTGCCGTTACTGAGAAGTAGAATATTCTTCAGCTCTGATGGGATTTTTATAGTTTTGGTCACAATGCTCCTATTTAACTGCTATCAGACAAATTGAATAATTCAGGTTAATTTTTATTTCGTTCATTTCATTTGTTAGTAGCTCATGTCTGTTACTGTCCATAGACTTGGACGGTAACAGGTAACGACCTCTTTTAGTTTCAGTTATGAAGAGGAACTGTTTTGACGTACATTTACATAAAGAGTAAAATGAACCTTGACAGTGAGGCAAAAAAAAAAACAAAAACATTCATAACACCAAAGTAAAAAAAACATTAGTAGTAAGAGTGTGTGTTATTGTAAATTTCACTATGCAAGTGAAGTATTACCGCTGCATTAGCTGTGTTCAATTTCTTCTTTAGTCTGTGGGATTCCTTCAACTCTTTGAGCCTACATACCTGAGACTACTGTTTCAGGAAACTGAAGAGAGCAGACATCCTCACCTACCTGACATACATTTACATAATGTCTTGCTCTCTATAGCTTTGAATTATCATATATACATACATACATACTGATCACTTTTTATTTATTTTTGGTAAAATTACTGACTGTTACTTTTGTCTTCTTTTTTAGGAAAAGAGGAATAGAAGTTGTTCAGGTAAGTGGTATTTTTCTTTTGTCTGATACAGTTTTTCTTGCTGCTGTAATGAGACAAAATTGAGCAGTCATTCATTGTTGTAGCTGAGAAATCATAAATGTGTATCCCTGTCAAGAAAGGGATGCCCTGAAGTAGAGTTGAAACCAAACTATTTACTGTGTATACCTTTTCTTATATTTCTACTGTCTTCTACTGTCCTCCTACATTTCTGATGTAGTTCCTTCACAGTCTTGCCCATTTCAGTGTGTAAGCATCCTCAGTCGCAGTCTACCAGACCAGGCCATGTTCATTGTTGAGCTGTGATGCAACTCGTCCCAGCATGATATTTCAACACCTGGCCTCAACTCTATTAGCTCTCTCGTATGTCAGAGGAATCTTACTGGAGCAGTGGCTACTCATTCTGTGTATGTGTGAGTGTCTGTGTGGTTGAAACATTCAAAACCTTGGTAGCGGTGGAATTCATCACAGTATCAGACATCAGTCACAAGAAGAGGGTTAGGGCTACAGTTCTGTACAGATTACTAATTACAGTCACTTTAAGGTGTTCACTGTAATGTGGATGTGTCAAAAGAAATAATGGTATATCTCCAATGATTACTTGACTCTAGTAAAGGATAGGTCCTCAGTTACTGTAGGTTCAGTGAAATGGAGGCCCCATGGAAGTAAAAGCTTCTGTCATTAATGGATATTGCACGGTACACTACGTTGAGTAAGTAAACACAGCGCATACAGCAGCATAGTAGCGATTGTTAGTAAGTCCTGGGAGCTCAGTGCTGAAAGAGCTTGTCAGTTTAAGTGCTTTCTGCAATTGAGGAGCAAATCATCCCGCTTTTTCTCTCAGTCTCTTATTCTGTTATTTCTTTTTTTAATGCCGTCTCTTGTCTTCTTGGGGGGTTCTTTTTTTTTCTTTTCTTCTCCTCACTTTGAGGTTATTTTTTTCCTCTCACTGTGCTGACGATATCAGCACACCCAGAAAGAGCCATGTCCTGGGAATAGTCCCAAAGTAAGCAGGGCTTTGTTTCCCACTGTGCATTCAGACCCTCCTGGGAGACAGCGTATCCTCACAGACCCTCGGCTCAGGGTACCCAGGGACGTCAACAGCCCTCTGGCCTTCCCTGTTTCTCTGTTCTCAGGACTACCTGTTTTCCATTTTCCTCCTTCAAATCAGCATAACCTCAATTTATTTTTAGCTGTCAATGCTAGTTGAGAAAGCTCAGTTTGTTCAGACACCCAGAGAGGTTTTTTTTTTAAAATTCATATCAGTGACTCGGCTGCCCGAGATGCACCCAATGCCAGTCAGTGCATGTAATGTCATGGCCGCAACGCAAGCGAAGATAATGGTAGCCATTGTAAGGCCTTGGCCTTGTTATACAAGTCTGTGTACAAAGCTTTCTTCTCCTATTGCACGAGTGAATTCTGAGTGCAGCAACCTTAGACTTTTCCTCATTTCACAATCAGTCTTGCAATTTCTAATGCCAGATTATGTACTTGAAGCCATGTTATTCCTTTATATTTTCTCCTGTGTGTCCTTTAAATTCCTCTAGTTATGTTTACATTATTTTAAGCCTAAATGTACTGAAGCAAGATATATGTCCGCATTGAGACAATAAAGTACAAGAATGAATGAAATAATCCTCACAAAGAAGAGTAATGTTTTGTTAGAAGCAAAGATAACAAGAGTGATGGGGAGAGATGGTAGTAAATGGAGGCCATGGACAGGGTGCAGGAAGCGGTGGTATATTACACAGACATTCAGCCCCAAAACTTGTCTGGCACTACAATAGCTTTACAATTTAATTTATGTTTTATTACAGATAACATGTTCAGCTTGAGTGTTGTTTATGTTTTATTCATTTAGGGTTTTTAAGCTTTATGGGTGTGTGTGAGTGTTACTGTTAAGATATCTAATCTGTTTAACCTTCTCTAGAAGGCTGGAGTAGAACATAGCTGCAGATTTATCTATTGCAGCCAGATCACCTGACCTTGTCCCTGTGGTCTGACAGACCTCATCCTCATGAAAACAACTCAATCTTGAATATCCAATGATTAATGAACTCTAGGCTTTTTCTTGCAGAATATATCTGTGGGTATATCTTGTTTGTCTAAAAACTGTAACACTCTAAAGAGTTCACCTTGGGATATTTTGGATATTGTGTTTTTCATCTTTTTTGACATTGTTTTAGACCAAATGATAAATTAATCAATAAACTAATCAGCAGATTAATCGATAATTAAAATAATTTAGTTGCATTCTTACAACCTTCTTTTATCGAAATGACGTATAGATATTTCACATTGCATTTGCACCTTGCAATATATGGTCTTTGCCACAAGAGGTTGGATCCTCCAGGGGTTTAGCAGTGGTTATGACATAGCCCTGTGTGAACAGATCTTTGCTAAATCTGGCAGCCCCAGGGAGTTAATTTTATATTTCCATTTCTAGTGTGGGAAAACTATCTACATGTATACCCATCAAGACTGAACTGAAAAAGAACATTAAGTTTGTTTGTTTACTCCTTTAGCCTCTAGCTTCTTTCCAATGTAGCTCAACCCATTATCACGCTCGCCTCTTGTATACTTTTCACTCCTCCATCCTTCCTTTTCCTCCTCCTAGCAATTTTGCACCAGCTCATCAATACTGACCCCTTAGTCCTGAGCTCATGAGAGCCATCCTCTCAGTGCTCCGTACATTAGCCTGTCTGTATCGCAGAGCTGATGAGATTAACTCGCCAGGCTCGGCCTCGAGGAAGCCAATATTCCCTCTCAGAGAGAGAGCCCACCACAGCAAATGGCCTTCATTTGAATGAGCTGTCCAGGGAAGGTTATTGAATTACCGTTTTTATTATATGGTAAGTGCTTAGGAATTTAAAGTTAATATCCGGCATGCTACTGTATCTCACCTACATATTGAATTTGTGGAGGCTGACAAACAAGAGATTGTTTTTAGATGGTATTTATTGGTCCTCCAGTGTACCACGATCCAAAGAAAGCTGATTGATGGCCCTTATTTGTAATATTTACATTAGCTAAGATGAAGCATAAAACTATAAGTCTGCAGAGCTCCATTGGGTAAGCGTCATTATGTGTGTATTTTTTTTTAAATTACATTTAGATTTTTGTACACTTGTTTTTATTAGTTTGACAAATTTTCTCAAGTGCTGTAAGAAGTGTGTGGGGGTTGTTGTTTTAGGAGTCTTGTGTTCAGGCTGGAGATGATAATGATGAATGAGATATTCATCAGTTTGACCAAGTGACTCATTTATCTCCCTCCCTTAGCCATTCTCAGTAGACCTGGTAGAGATATGTAGTCTCTTTCTGAAATAGGTCTTGATTTATCCACCTGCCAAAAGTATCTTTAGAAATGTTGTTTTGCCTGCCAAGTCACTTTAGTAACACACATTTATTAATGGTTAATCCAATAGTATACCCAATAAAATGTGTATTAATGTATTAATTGATAAAAGCTGAGATACATTTGCTTCCAGTGTACAACAGTGAGTTCCAGTGAGACTCCAGTGATGCTGAGGAGACGGCCATTAGCCTAATGAGCTCCCAGTTTGACCCTCCGTTTGGTCTTTGGCTGTAGATTTAGTCTGGTACTTCATGTGAGGTGTGGCTGACAGCCGCGGTTTGTCTCAGACACATATGTTCCTCTTACATTAGGGCTTCAACTGACACACAGCCTACCAAATAAATCATTCATCACATGTCTGTCGGCACTCTGCACACAGTCTCTCTCTGGGCAAGCCTGACAACAAAGTGAAAAGCCAGGTGAGATTAGATCCAGCTGAGGGCAACTATAAAGAGGCATCCAAAGGATGAAACAGCCTCATTGCCAGATGTCACCAGGCACAGAGACCAATAACTGCTCCAAACAGTTGTTCATACAGTTTGTGTTCACCATAATTATACACAATTATGTTGAAAACTGAAGTATACATATGAGCTCTGTCCCTGATGTTTGCTCTAAATCACAGTTCTAAGAGCTCCCTGGGGTATAGCTTGGGCCCACTGTGGAGTGGAGCTACATCAAAGCTGAAAATATATTGGCCCTGACCCACCCTCTCCCTCCAGGATCCAGCCAGTGTGCTTTCTATGCTGTCCATCACTACCATGGCCCACCGCTAGCACTCAGTCCCAGAGGGACTTGCAAAGACGTCAGCTGACATTTCTGCTTTTAGCATTTAGCAGGACATCAGTGACTTTACTGCTGGGTTTTTGGATGAGCTCTGAAGCAGGGTCATTCTGTTTACGCACAGGGAGAGGAGAGCTTCATCCTCTGTGATGTGTCTTTGCCAGTGGGTGTTGACCCCCATGATGTAGAATCCTGTTTTTGTGGAGGGGCCAGGCTGTGGATGGGCCCTCTGTGTTGTGTAAGCAAGAGATTAAAAGCCATGCCTCAGTGGAGTACAGACAAATTCCCTTTAACCGGGCCCTGTCACACTGACACTGCTAGCTAGACAGAAAATGAGAGCGACTGCTTCAGTTTTTACCAACCTGATGTACCTCACGCCACTGCTGAGTCCTGTCACCACTAAACCCCGTAGTAGTTTATACACAGATGACAACACATTTTATGAGTGTTGACTTACCAACACAGTGTGGTCATTGCAGCATGCTTTTGTTTTTTACACATCTGCCATATGTTCACACCTCTGTGTCTACTACACCATCCTGATAAACCAGCTGGACTGCTGAGACACTGAGTCACCCAAAACCTCTGCAGTTTGTTTTTAAATCAGGGCTGTTTCTTTAATTTAATTCACTCGTCGCCCTGTATACATTTTTGCTGCTCAAAAGTATGGGCTCAAAAGTATGTTACTGTTGAGCTGAAGGGCGTGTTTCTACAGGCAGGAGGAATGGAGCGAGGAGGAGAAAGAGATCCAGCAGCGTTAAGATGGCCAGAGAAAGACATGTGTTGATGTGTCATAATGAGCTCTTAAGAGAATACAGCTTGACTTGAAAACTGGAGGGTGTATAGTCATTTCTCTGCATGGACTGTATGATTTGTAGTATAGTTTGTGCTCGACATAGAAAAGCCCATATTCCTTGCCGTTGCCGATGAGAACAATGAGCAAACCTCTGTAAAAACAAGATCTTACCTTGGACATTTTGTTCTTCCTGATGAAACTAGTGTAAAGAACATGGTATCTAAATCATCTGTTATTTAAAAGATTAAACACTCACTCAATTGACTTTTCAGGGCAGGACCAAGGGTACGCTAATTAGTCATCTATCTGTCACACCTCTCACAATCATTAACCAGATAATGTTGGCTTTGACTGTAGCCAACCCTAAACCAACTGAAACGCAGAACAGTTTTACAGTTCTCGCATTGATCCACACCAGTGTGACTAAGGTGTGTTCTCTCTCGGTTTGCGTTCTGTCTGGACAGCACAAAGACAGTGGTGGGGTCCTCCCAGCTCTGGCTTATTTGAACAGGTGTAGCTGAATTGTCTTTTGTCTGTAATAATCAGGTGATCTCTATACACTGATTATTTGCTAATGAGTTACTCTACGAGTGCATTACACAATAGCAGAGCTGCAACTAGTTGAGACTGCCCTCTCAGTACAGTTTTAATGTTTAATGTTGTACTGTACTGAGCTATATCTTAATTTGACACCTTCATAATGTGCTCTTATTGTTGTTATTATTATTATTAATGATAATAAATTATTTGTGTTTGCCTTAGTATGATAAGATCGATTTAGACCACCACAAGTATATTACAGCGGTTACGAAGCACATAACATGGAGTGTAGCCAGAGATTTCAGATCATTAGTTTAAAATCTCCAAATATACTTTCACTCCTTTGGCCTTGTTCAGTAATTATTAAGCCTAGCCACATATTGAAGGCTGCTTTTTATCTGTTTTTCTGACTGTCTGTCTGTCCGTCTTTCACACAATCCTGCCCCTAAAATTAGAAGTTCCTTTGTTATGTAGCAACAAAAAAGCAGAAAAACGAGTAGCCACAGCTCCAAACACCCTTGCATTTTCCAACCTTTAAAGTTGTCTCTCTCACACAAACCTAACTCGAATCCCTTTGTCACAACAAGCTGGACACATTCAGCCAGAATGGAGGCTTTTTTTGTAAACTGGACTTAGCATATTCATCCACAGAGGACTCCACATTACTTGCTAAATCTTAGCATCTCTTCTCTATCTCTTGTAATGTTGCTACATTTGTGTGTGTGTGTGTGTGTGTGTGTGTGTGCGCTCACACACAAGTGGTGACCCACATAAGTCTTATCACACTTGGAGAGCTGCTTTGACTACTTGTGAATTACTTGGCCAGTGCAGTCAGTCTTTCAGCTGTGGTAAACTTCAAACGAATGCTAATTTGGCGTTTTCTCAGAGGCTGTCAAATATGTTCAGGGAGACCGGAGGTCTGGCCAGAGGTAGAGAGTTACTCATAGTAAAAAAGATGACACCAGAAATAAATCCTGATGGTGTAATTCAAAACAAATACAACATAAACTCTGGCTGCACCAAAGTTACAGCTATAAATAAAAGATAAAGAAGAACATTTAGAATCAGCGCTGATCCTGATTTATAACCAAGAAAATCAGAAAATAAAATATACGTTTATTTTCTAGAGCAGACTTATGAAGTGTGATGGAGAGATTAGTCCTTTCCATCAACAGATAGGGAGTATAAATGAGGAGGGCAATGGCAGATTGGTGAAATCCCAAAATGAGAGGTCCCTTTCATAAAAGTACTCTTAAATCCATCATGTTCAAAAAAAAAAAGCAATCAATGACACTGAAAACTTAACTTTGAGTAACTTGATGACACTAGTTGCTTTGGATAACAAAGGCCAGTGCAGCCATGGTTCTCATTTATTGCTTTTTTTTAGAATAACTTCTATCAATGCAGTTTTATAAATGCAGTAAGTAACTAAAGGCAATACAGCTAAGAAACATGGGTTTTCATGGATGACAGCTGAGGTTAACCATTTCTAAACGTGATAAATGAATTCTTGAGTGTTGAGTGATGGTCCTTTTTGCAGCATAACCCTTGACCCATGGCTGTCATTCTCTCCTCAGCTGGACCTCAGCCAGCCTCTGGAGGAGCAGGGTCCACTGGACGTGATCATCCACAAACTGACTGACCTCATCCTGGAGGCTGACCAGAATGATTCACAGGCTGTGCTGCTGGTGCAAAGAGTACAGGTATGAATCTTTGGCTTCATATGTGTTATAAAGGATTCATATGTGATAAGGAGAATACAAGTAGAGAGGTCTGGAAAAGTGGGGCAAATTAAATTAATGATTTCCACTTTTTAAAAAACTTTGGGTTATATTCATGACCCCTTAAACATATCAAAAACATCTAACCCATATATGACCATGTTTATTAATAACTTTGGGGACAGTATGTGTGACAAAATAATCTCAACTTACTAGCTTTTTATGAGCTCTGGATAGTGTTGTCTGTAGCAGAGCAGCATTTAAGAATGACAGAAATGTACGTTTACATGTAAATGTCCCTGTTTAAGAATCTCACACAGGCCAGAGGACCTTAATCTTAGCTCCATATAACATAAAGGACATTAGCAGCTATATTTGAACATTTGGTGACTTGTAAAACCTCAACACTGTCACTGAAAGTAATTTAAGTTTTTCTTGTTCCTCCTGAAGTGAGAAAAATCTCACATGGACAGCAGGTCACAGCTCCAAATGTGGCACTGTGAACACACTTTAGAAGACCACGGTGTGTGTTTTGTTGGTGTGTGTGTGGTGTGTGTGTTGTTGGTGTGTGTGTGGTGGTGTGTGTGTGTGCAGGTGTTGTCGAGTGGTGTGTGTGCGTGGTGGTGTGTGTGTGTGTGTGTGTGTGTGTGTCGGTGCTCGTTGTATTCATTTAAATCTGGCAATGTTATACCATGGGTGTGAAAATTAATTTATTTCACCATGCTCCCACTCTCTCTCTTTCACTTCATGCATTGCTGATCTATCTCTATCTCTGCTGTGGTGAAACTCACTCAGGAGGAGCTGTAATCATGAGTCAACATGCACGCCAATTCTATCGACCATGCTTCCTTGATCTGCTCATTTTAGAAAAGACAAACAGCGATGCTCTATGTCGGAGCCATCACTTAAACAGTACAACACTTAATTTAATTTGTAACATTTGCGACACAGTATGATGGTACTCAAGGCCTTTTGAAACAAATTACATTTTCACACATTGTTTTGTTTTTTGTTTTTTTGGGTAAAGAGATGTAGAGAGAAAAAAGCACTTTAGATAAACCTCCCCATTATGAGTAAAAGCCTCCCACCTTATCTAAGACGGATGGTGAATACGATTTTATAACAAGTATGAAGAATTCCCTAAGTCCTCCAAGAAGCCATGTATACGTAATATTAATATAACTTTTTTTTTTTTTTTCAGTAGATTGTGCAAACCACCACCACACCTCTCTTGTTGTGTCTTCAATGTGTTTCAGTACCATAGGTTGCAGCTTTGTCCCCTACACTCAGGCTTCGGTCATACTAAAGAGACTCAAATCAGATTTATTTTGCTTGTTTTTTCGTGACCATGTGAACAGAACAAATCACATGGAATCTCATCTTTTCAGTTCACACAGACATTTTTTTTTTGTAATGTGACCTCATGTCAGAGTATCAGAATTCATGTGACTTTTATGTCACTCAAGACCTACGTTCATCATCTGGGTCACTTCAGGATTGTGACCTGTTCACACTGGAATCTGATATTGGCCACATTTAACATGTCATGTAAACAGCCAAACAAAACAAAAACAGATCCGAGCGATAAATCAGAATTGAGCACCAAGGCTTACAGTGTGAACGTAGCCTCAGAGCCTCACCATTTTTATAGAACAAATGCTAACAACAGTTTCCAGCGTTTTCAAGGATGTGCTTCTGTTTATACCATTTAAGCACCCATTGTATCTTGATTCTCACTCTCTATCCACTGTGTACATTACATCTTTAAAGGCTGTCCCCCTGTAGCATTAATAACAAGTACCCAAACCACCTGGACAGGGTTTCCTCTGTGCAGAGGAACGGTTTTAGTCCAACATTGTCATCCTTTCACTCACCAACTAAAGCTTGTGACTGTAAATGAATGTTGAATCACATTTTAGCTCGAAAATAACAGCTCAGCTTTTTGGTTCAGTCCCATCTGTACCTCTTTCTGTTCTGGCTATTTACCTGAACACAGCTGTCATCTGTGATTACATTTTAGTTGAGATATTGGCACATCTCTAGTTTGACACAGCTGTGTGTGATACTAGTGTGTCATTTGTGTGGTGAAGGAAATAAGCTTGCCTTTCTAAAATAGCTCTTTATCTAAAATAAAATGTCGTGCTGGGATGCCCTCTGGTGATTCAGTGGCCTGAGGTGTCAGCCGTGTGCGCAGCAGAGATAATGATAATAACAGTTCTTTGAAGTAATATGTGTAGGAGGCTGTGGTTAGGAACTAAATTAATATACTGACCTTTTTATCTTTTATCAGCATCATCAGCTACCTATAAATTGTAATAAATTAAATGGAAATGTCAGTTATGCCATATACCAATTATCTGAAAAGCAAAACTGCAATTATATACAGTAATTAACATTTATAAACACTTGTGTAATAGTTTTTTGTCTAACTTGCTGCTATATGGTTGTACTTTGCTGCAAACAAATTAAGTTTCTAGTCCAGCGGGCTTCTGTTTGATTGACAGCTGATGTTACTCGAGCTGATGTGGTAAATCACACCCATCTGGTATAAGTGCTAAAAATTATTTTACACTTTAAGTTTGCCTGTGATGTCACAGACATGGCTTACAGCTAGTAGCACAGATTAGATCCTCTGCTGACCTTTTTTCTTTTTTACTTTGAACTGCTTTTTTTTTTCCCTATGGAAAGAGATATGCTCGGAAAAGCGAACAGAAAATGTGCAGCCCTGACACCCACTCTTTTACACCCACACTGACATACGTCTGGCTCTTTTCCTCTCCAACACCTGCTAGCCAGTGCTCATCTCCCTCTCATCTCCTCCTCTTGTCTGTGTTTAAATGCATTTCTCCTTCCGAGACGCATACTTCAGCAAGTGACAGTCCTTATCAGCAGTGTTCCTCTAAACTCCTGGAAGATTAATTTGGATTTATTTTTTGGCGGCTGCATGTTTGACTTACATAACCGCTCAACTGGCTTTGATCAGCATTGCCCGTTGGATCCCAGCAAATCCTACAGATGTGTCCTCCATGTCAAGGCAAAAGCATTTGTTTACATGCCGCTCGCAGTATGTGTGTGTTTTAATAAGTTCTCAAACTTAAAAATTTTTTGTTCCAATGTATGTGTGTTTGATGCCCAACATTGCAGCGTGTGTTTTATTTCATGCAAATGTGTATGACGGGACGAGCTGTGGTGTTTTTTAAAGGGCTGTAATGTGAGCAGGCAGGCTGTTTGTGTAATGCACAGGCCAGCCATTTCCACCTGACAGCGTTTGTGAGTCAGTAAAAATTGCTGGGAAGGAAGGGTTGGCAGAGGAATCTACAGAGCAGAGATGGAAACGTGGAGAGCGTGGAGAGGAGGTGGTGTGGGGACAGAGCCAGAGGAGAGCCGACTAGGGGAGAGAAGAGAAGGGGAGTGCAGTTATGTAAAATAGCAAACCTCACGTTGACCTAACAGCCGGCCATGCAGAGATGTAGTGATGTAACCTACACAGACCCGCTGGCATACATCTCATGCTCTCTTTAGCTCACACGTATACAGGGTGAGGCATGTTGACCCTTCAATTTAGGGTTACTTTTTACTTACTATTTGTAGTTTGCCTACTTCAGTATCTTTGTTTAACGTTTCTAATGTGTATGGATTTATTTGTGTGTCATGTGACATGGCAGATGGTTGCATGGGGTGTGCAGCTATTCTTTTTGCACACTTTGGCATATATTTTGTTCTAGTAACACACCCACATATTCAAAAGAGTTTCAGAAAAAAAGAGAAAAATGCCCTTCCAAAGCCCATGGAAAAATCTTCAGACTCGTTTTATCCGACTACCAGTCCAAAACCCCAAACTATGGATGTTTAGCAGTTTTCAGTGAGAGGTGACTTTAAAAATTAAATGTTTATCAAAAATTGAAAAAATGTGTCTTTGTGTTTCAGGACTACATTGATGCCCACCCTGAGACCATCGTTCTGGACCCCCTTCCGGCCATCCGAACTCTGCTGGACCGCTGCAAGTCCTACCAGCTCATCCACAGGATAGAGAGCTGTATGCAAGGTAAGATGTTTCACATAACTCGGTGACACAGCAATCTCACACTGAGTATCTATGGGAGAGAAGTTTCAGTTTTGTAATTATTGCAATGTTGCAATTATTGAATTTGCTTGCCAAGGGGAAGGAAATGTGTGCTCTGCTTTCATAAAGGCCACATTTGGTAAAATTGGACATGCAAATTCAAACCAGTGACATGTGCTGACCCTTGGTCATGATGGAACAAAGAGAACAAGAAGTCCAAAATAGAGGAAGCTGTGATATTAACTGTCACACTGTCCAATTTTATAAAAGTGATTCAGCATAGCATGCAGTCACTGTTATGAGATAAGATTAAAGGGAACAAATACATTCCCTTGAATGACCAAATGTGTTGTAATTTTAATGTATTATCCTGTTAACGACAACAGCACCACTACGTCACCAAGCTTTCACTACCACTTATTTTAAAAGACGCATAAATTTACACTGAGTTACCATTTTATTAGGTCACCTCTAAAACTACTGCAGCCTAATACAACAGTCCTGCAATAAATCCTAACTTCATAAAGGTTATTTTTGTTGAAACTGTTTCAGAGAGGTGGTGATTCAATTTTATGCTCATTTTGGCAGCTACAGTTATAGTGCTTTTGAATTATACTGCATAATGCTGAGAAGTGTTTGTGATATTTTGTCCACTCCATTCAAAATAAGGGTAGATTAAGTATTAGAAACAGGCGCTGCACACTGGAGCATCCATAATGTCCATAACAGTTTCAACAAAGACTAAGTTCTAGAAACACAGAGGAAGGTAGAATTTACTGCTGTATTCATAACATCCCTTTTAGCTAATAGTACCTGATAACAACTGAGTGTATTTTGCTGTGTCACTTAGCAGTGTGACTATAACGTCAATACACAGTGTGTCATGGGTCAAAAGAAGTAAAAACAACGTCTTTGTTCCTCTCCGAATTTTAAATATGCAATAAAAGCCGAAGTTGTTTAATAATAAAGGAACTGTTGGTTCCATGGACACTGCCGTCTGCCTTACTTTAACGTGTGTAATATTATTAAATGGACAGAGTTGTGATTACTGCAGGTTGTCTGTCTTTCCTCTTCACTCCCAGAGGGGACACATGGATAACATATGACTGCAGTGTCGCCCCTCGCTTGAATTATGTTACACAATGCTTCCGAGCAGATGTTTAATTCTTGCCGGTTGAGCGCTATCATGATATAATAATTCCTCTCCTCACTTTCACGCAACAAAAGCACCTCTTCATTTCCTCCTGCCTGAACCCAGTATGAACTTGGCTCTGTGTGTTTCTCCCTGAAGGACCAGAAGTTGCCTTCTAGTCGCTCCAGCAACACCTCCTTCCGTCACTGAGCCCATAACCTAATCAGCGGACAATGTCTTTTGACTGGAGGTGGAGAGATTCAGTGACGACAAGAGCACATTCTTTACCCACTCACACTGTAAACACACCTGTGACTCATCCACATTTCCTTTACCCCCATACATGGCAGGGACCATAAACCTTTTAAGTATTACTTCACTGAGCATCCATGACTCTGTGAGGGGTTGCAGTGTGGTGTCACAGCAGCGGATCAGAGGCGTTTCAGCATGTCGGCAGTGTCATTAGCGTCTTAAAATAGAACCACAAGAAGACGTCTTTTTTTTCTCCAAACAGACATGATGGCTGTTACGTAACAAAAAGAGTATAAGCTGCATCGCTCACTCACTGTGTGTATTTGGTTTGAAGAGGAAGATGGCTCACTGGCTGCATTTATAGGAAGCTTCTTTCTTTTTTTTCCCCACTCTGCCTCCATTAATGTAAGTGGTGCTCTCTGCTCACACTTAGACCTGCATACCTAACCTCCCTGACAATTGTGGTTGGTGTAGACACAAGCATGGAGTGTAAGCCATTATAATCCTGCACCACACCATAGTGATTGTAGGAAAACTGGCATGTGACAGAGTATAAATGTATTTACAGTCAGAAAAAAACTGTAAGAACTGGGTTAAGGTTAGAGTAAAATAGAGGATAGTGTGAGAGTGTGGAAAGTGTACCTTGCTTTCTTAGGCACAGCCACTTCCTCGTTCTTATCAGCAGAGACCATGGAGTCCTCGAGCAGCTGCCAAGGCAACCCAGTACTAAAAGGCCATAGAGAGCCTGCCATGCTTCACAGTCTGCATGACTCAGAATAGTACTCAATAGGAGGAAGCACTTGAGCTACGCTTGTGCTTTCTCTGGAAAACCTTATTTTATCACTTGAGTGGTCTCTCAATGTTAAATGGCCCCAGTCACAGTACATTTAGCTGCTCTGCTCTGTATTGTTTAAATTAATATAAACTTAAGCACAAGTATTAGCTCATCTTAATGTTATGTTTGGTAGAAAATAGCCAGACAAGAGCCACACGAGCACTAATGGATCAGTGTCACTGATTCATAGCTGTGCTTATTGGAACTTTGGCGCTGCTCTGTTGTCCAGCTTGGTTTTGTGTTTCCTATGTGAGCCAGAGCAAGGTAACTGTTTATGTTACTTGGTGGAATCTACTGGTTCCTGTATATGCTTGACTTTTGATATCTTGGACTGTTTTTATAGACAGAAACCGTCGTCAAGTCAACTCTTCTGTAAAACGAAAAGCCTCACTCAATGTTTCATCCTTATTCTTCTCCAGCTCATGATAAAAGAATTCTCCTGAATACAAGCGGATTCCTCAGGCTCAAACCGAAGTCCTCCTGGGTTTAGTCGTATATTAATCAAACCGTCTTGAGGTCCCTGTGCTAATATTAATCCGCGCCTCAGCAAGGACCATCATAACAAGTGTCCCGTTTATGCGAGTGATCAATATTTAATCATAGTTGCAGTATGAGAAAGACAAACACTGAGACACTTTAAGACCAAACACTCATCCAAGTCCAACGAGCCAAGTGGACAGACAGGATTGCTCCAACTTGAGTCAATACCCTGCGTGTCAGGTGTGATGGTGCTTTGCTGCAATCATTAAAGGATAAATATCTCATCAAAAGAATGTAGGATTTACCTTTTGTGAGAAAACAATGTCATTTTTCCTTTCAAAATAAATGACTCCTAATTGTAATTGGAGCGTAAGCCTCTTAGAGCACGATATTGAGAATGGCATTACTCTCAGGGCATAGCCGTGTTTGGAGTTCAATTTAAAATATTGAAAATCCTGCTGCTTTGCCTTGGGGGGGAGGACGCAGAGAGAGAAGTGAGCGAGGATGCTGGGGTTTCTAGGAAACAAGCTCTAAATAGCAACAGGAGAGTTCAGCCTTCCACCTAAACAGCAACACACTTTATGAAGCTTAATGTAACTCTGCTGTCTATGTGTGCCAGCAGCTAATGCCTGAACCCAGAGGAAAGAGAACAGAAAAGAATTTTAGGTGTTTTAACAGGTCTGTTGAGGAATGTCTTCCCTGTTAATTCTCAGGCACATCAGTGTTCCCCTATATGTTTGGAGTTTATTTATTTGCATGAATATGGTGCTGATGGGATAAAAGAAGAGACCAAAACAAAAAGCAGGGTAACTGGATAATGACATTTAAAAAGCATCTCATCGTGGAGTCCCGTAAACGTCGTCCTCGGCTCCGCTGGGTCTGCTGCGAGCATGCAGTGTTTAGACAGAGCCAGAGATTGATCCCCCCCACCCTCCTCTCCACCCCCTCATCTCCAAAGCGTCAACCAGAGCCAAGCATGCACGCTATTACAAACTTGGCCACACTCTCTTATCCACCATTCCCTGGTCTCTTTATTATAAATCCTTAACTTGGAGCTTGGAATGTTTTCCGTTTGACAAGGTTTAGATCTTTTGATGGTTTTTTGTTTGACAAAATTTAACGCCATCAGTCTTTGGGAACACAGTGATGTAATGGGGATATTTTCCCTACCAGACTGTTTTCTGAAAGACATTATGCTGCTATTCCTGTCCTGGTTAAATAAGAGCAGTATGACAATCATGGCTGTAGCCAGTGCAGAGATGACTGATGGGTAACCCTCCAGGCTTCCCGCTGCAAAAAGTGACTGGTTGCAAGAGCCAACGCTGGAATAGATCCAGCGGCACAGGGAAAGGTTATAGAGCTCAGAACAAGTATCTGCCTGTGAGAGAGAATAGGAGTTTTCTGTGTTCGACTGTCATGTAACAGCAAAAAATAGAAACCTATTGAACAATGCTACATCTGTTTTGGCCTCCTTTTGAAGATGCAGATTTATTCCTTTTTTGAAGTAAAAGTAAAATTGTTCCTATTAGGAAATTAGTTCTGTACAAAGTGGTCAAAGCACATGTTAAGCTGCAGGGCACATCAGTAAGGCAGATACTTGGATTATTCCAGGTTATTATATCTTTTTTTTATTTGATTTATATCAGATGTGATTACATATGTTCTCACCAGGCATTGAGGAGATATTAAAATGTGGCAACGTTTATGCAATAAAATTGGGCAGGTTGTACCTTCACAACACCATAGGTCAAACCGAAAGAGCTTGTACCTGAATAATAATCCGTCATTTCACAGAAAACCTGTTCATGCATAACCATGGCAAGTGAGGTCAGGACAGGTCAAAGTTGAACCTGGGTGGTAATCTGTAAACCCTGATGTACTTTATGTCTACAACATAAAAAAACTGAATGCAAATAGAATTATAAGCAGTGCAAAGGTTTGGGTGATAATTCTCCCCTTAATTTACTCTCACTTACTCTATTTGGTTTTTATTTAAAACCTGAATGATCACCTGACTGCTCGTGTTCATTGTCCTGTTGGAATGTCGCCACATTCCTCAATCTCAGCAATTTGCTAGATGTGTACAATGTAGGGCTGTATCAATGCTACAACTATTGTCATTATCAATTTGATCTGCCAGTTATTTTCTCAATTAATTATTTTCTGTATGAAATGGTAAAACATGCTCATTATAATTTCCCAGAACCAAATGTTAAAAAGATACTTAAAATCAATAGAATAGCCAAACAATATTTAATTTAGTATTACAGAGAATTCACGGACAATCACATTTAAAATAAATCCTTTGGTTCGATTATCAAAATAGTTGCCTATTACTTATATGTCAATTAACCAACTAATTGTTTCAGCAGTATTATTATTACCAGTAGGACTGATGGCCAAAGCTGCAACAATAGACTGCAATTATCCCTTAATGATAGTCACGACTACACCATTGTGCAGCTCTGACTCTGGACTACTGTATGTGCTGCTTTATCACCTCACACAGCAGCAGCTGTGGTGGTGTTTCTGGAACCGGCTCTACAGCTTAATGTCACTTCAGAAGTTTCTGTGATAACTTTTAGGCTTTTTTCTTTAAGAAAAAAAGTCTCCTTTTGCCTCTTGCATCAGCTTTCATTGTGGGTTTTCCAAAAGTTATTGTGTGTATCTGCACTATCCGGCTGCTGTGGGAGCTGTAGATGTCTGTGGGGCCCAGTGTACACCCAGAGTTCAGCACTCAGCACTGGAGTAAATGTAGGCAAATGAGATTCTCCTGACCTCAGCACTAGCAGGAGCAGAGAGCCCTGCCACTGCTGAGGCCCACAGCACACAAAGACCGGCGTGTTTCTATTGTGTTTTTGTCATTAGCAATTTGCCAGCTCTTGGTTTGGCCCCCTCGCTGATTTCCTGTGGTGATATCTCCAACCAGCTGCCTTATCACCCCTATGTACCTTCTGTAGAGGGGAAATTACAGAAAGCAGAACATTAATATAGCTGTGTCTTGAGCCCTGATATGGTGAAGTATGACGGAGCTGCAGGATGTTTGTTATTTTCAGTCTTATCGGAACTGACTGAGCTGCCGCCACAGGATGTGATGTAGAAAATATGATGTAAACAAACATGATGTGATGTAAGAACATGGTGGAGATAGGTGAGAAAGAGGCTGAATTGTTTGTCCGGTCCTCAATAATGTTTAACGAAAGAATGGCTGAGTTTGTATTGTATAATTAACTACTTGTTAGACGTTATCTATCACGTCTGTCAGTCAGGTGATGTATCTGATGACTCTATAATGTCCTCAGCTGGTTTGACTTCGTCTGTAGTTCCTCATGAGATTGTGTGTCTTCCTGTATTTCAGCATTTTCCTCTGTGTGTGTGTGTGTGTGTGTGTGTTTTGGGAGGAGCAGAAGGGCCTGGCAGCTTTCTGCTTTATTTATTTGGACAGGAGTCATTTGTCCCCCTGGGCCTCAGATGGCCTCTGCTGTGTTTGTTGTCTAAACCTGTCACAAGGATGAAATATAATTGTATAAATTAAATGCACATCCAAATCAAGTTAAATAAGGTGTGTCCGCATACGTGTGAGACTCATCTGTTCCCCGTGTTGGAACAGGTCTCGAGCATTTTTACTCAGGCTACAGTAGGATGTGCTGCCCTTTTTTGTAAGTAGGCTATGGATGATAACAGAAAGAATAGCTTCGAGTGCTGCTATTTTTAGGAAAAAACAAGGCACATAAATCACTGTCTAATGAAGCTGTTCACCAGGGAGCAAAGACTGACATTAAACCTGTTAAATTAAATGTTACACCAAAACTAAATGTGTTTTCTAAACCAGCAGTCCTGACCATACCAAAGCAGGAATTACTCCTTTTTGTACATGAACTATAGTTCAGATTGTGGCCTTCCTTTTTCTGTGTTTATCATGTGAATTGATGAAAGTGTGTGTTCAAGGGTCATCTGAAACTATCAGTTGATTGACAGAACAACAAGACAACGATGCTTGTTTATATTTTATATCATCACTGTTGGTCTAACAACACATTTGAAGATGGTGATGGCACTTTTCACCATTTCTTGTTCAATGTTATATACCAGAAAATCAATCATTTAATTATTAAAAAGAAAAGTATATTTCTCTCTCTTTCTATAAGCCTACACTAGAAACAATATCTGACATTTATTCCCCATAATTATTTCTGTTTAAGTGAAAAAAATATTTTGAATTATTTTGCTGAGTCTCTTAACTGTACTATTTCCCTCCACATTCTTTTACTTCTCTTTTTATTAGATGAGAGGATTTGCTCTCCTCCATTCATGGTCCTGAACACAGACTGTAGTCCAGATGTGCTGGAGCAGATCAAGAGGCAAGGACTTACATTCCCCTTCAGTAAGTTTTTTTTTTTTAATTATTTTATTTATTTTTTTACCTCAGTTACCCTCTAGATATTGAGAGCTTAAATGTATTTTCCATATACATTATTTAGACCTGCTGTAGTACTGTTTGGACTAAAAGTATATTGACAGTAAACTGCTTTTCAGTAAGTTTCTTGCAAGTCAGGTTCTTGCTAAATTCTCTGTTTTCCTCGCCTTTATTTCTTCTTCAGTTTGCAAAACACGGGTGGCTCATGGAACCAACTCCCACGAGGTAAGAGGCCACAGGGCTCAGAGGTCACCCGCACCTCCACAGTTTGCTTTGTGTAAGCAGTAACACTTGCCCTGTCACACGACTGTCATTTAACTCAAGTCCAAACAACAAAATCAGATAAAGTGCTGTACCTTGTGTATCTCTCTGTGTCTCAGCTGAAATCAATACCTGTCAGGCTAGCCAAATAGTCTTCATTCCTCTCCGCTCACTGAGTTGAATTAAGTTAGGACTTCACTAGACTTGTTTCTGAAAGTGCCTGTTGGTTTGAACATCGCCTTTGATTCATGAACATGTTCCTGTTTTTTAGTTTAGAGGTGTCATTTTACGGTGTGTCCTCCTGTCCACAGATGGCCATTATCTTCAGCGAAGAGGACCTGAATGACGTGAAGCCTCCTTGTGTGATCCAGAGCTTCATCAACCACAACGCAGTGCTCTACAAGGTGTTTGTGGTGGGAGACTCCTACACTGTGGTGGAGAGACCTTCACTGAAGAACTTCCCTGCTGGACCGGCAGGTGAGCAGTCAGACAGGTGGCGAGAGGGAGAGACGGGTAGGAACGTCCAAGGGTTGCTAACAGGCACATTGGCCAGACTGTACAAGTTGCACAGCTTCTCCGAATTACCCAATAAAATACCTCATAAAATGGCTTTATAGTCCCAGCGATGGGACCTGTTCGCCCATTTAAGGATTGCAATTGAGGTTAGCCCTGTTGGTACGCGCTGTTGAAAATAAACAAGAGGAGTGGTACTTTTCTCCATAAACATGTCAGAAACCTTACCCATGATGCAGCCTTGAATACGGGGGTTATCCCCATACACAAGCGACTCCGGTATTTGCATGCGATACAGTAGAGGTCCTCATGCAAACCAGGTTTTTACCATCAGTGCGGTAGGCTGCTTTGTGTAACAGTCCAGAGAGAACAGTTGCTTTCAGCCTGGAATGCTGAGTGGTGCAGCAGAAAAGCACAACCCTTGTCAAACACATAAAGCAACATACCACAGTGTTGAATCTGCACAGCATGTAGGATCACTGTGCTGTGCAGCCCTTCAGCTATACATTGTGCTTTTTATCCGCTAAGTGAAGGGGATAGGCTGGTTGAAAAGAGCGAGGTATGAAGACAAAGAGGGGTAGGAGTTAGTGTTAAAGAACTTAAAATAACGGTGTGAGAGATGTCCCCTCCAGCCTTCCTTCCCATGCTTCTGTCGAGTTAAACTGGTGTTTGTTCATCCAGTCCAGGAATGAACAAGCCCATCCGCGTAACACTTCATTACCACGACCCTCTACAAGCCGAGGGGCATATTTATTTTGACAGTAGTGGAATTTACTTTTCCCCTCCACTCTCCGCCCCCTCTTCCTTCCCTCTAACACTCTATAATGTTAATCACTACAATGATAACAAAGAAAAAAGGGGCCAATAAATTGTGCAGTTCATCCTCTTACATTTATCACTCCTTCAAAGAGAATCCCTCACCGGAGGCAAATAACTTACACGCTGTTTTTATTCCAGGTCATGTTGAACACTCAACATGGCATGGTTATGACTAAGAGGGTTAAATGATTGATGACTTCACACCAGGATGGTGTAGTTTAGGTTTCTGTTTCTTTTGTCAGTTGGTAGAACCAGCAAAGGAAGGCATGACTTTAGTACATTTCTGTTTCCTCATTTCATAGTGTAACCAGTTGAGCTTTGCCGCCACCTAGTGCCTGAGATGGGAAACGTATATAGACGATTGCTCTGGAAAAGCACATCAAAGTGTAGTCAAGACATTTTAAAATTCAACCTGGCTTTTTTTTCCTGTTTACTTTTCAGACAGGAAAGCAATTTTCTTCAACAGCCACAATGTTTCCAAACCAGAGTCTTCCTCAGATTTGACCACGGTACGTCCAAAATATCACCAACTGCTGTCCCATGAGATGTCCCATTACGAGCTTTGTTGCTAATATGCTCGAATGTGTTATGTGTGTCTCAGAGAGAGAACGTAGAGGGCGTGTCTCAGCCACCCAATGACGATGTCATCAGAGAGTTGTCCAGGTCATTGCGGGAGGCGCTGGGCGTGTCCCTGTTTGGCATCGACGTCATCATCAACAACCAAACAGGCCAACATGCTGTCATTGACATCAATGCATTCCCTGGTAGGTCCAGCCTCCCATCCACAGGGGTGGGTTGCATTTTATTTGGTCATCTTGTTCATTTATTCTGCCCATTAAGCAGATAATAACCTTCACATGCCTCTTTCTATGGGGACCTGGTTCTCAGGTGTCCCTCTTTCAGAGAGAAACAGTGATATCCTTGTTTTGTGCTTCTAGTTCCACTGTCACCTATGTAAATATATGTATAAGTGACTAAAGCAGTGATTTCCTTACAAAACAGCAAGTGTTAGCAATTCCACCAACGAGACATTTCCCTGTTGAACTTCAGAAACAGAAAAACAATTATTTACTTTAAATTAATAAAATAAAATAAAAATGTATGTAGCAAAGCTTTGTCTTTTTTATTTTGTTCTCTCCCATAAATCATCTCACAACCCTCACAATTTCTCCTTGTAAACATTTGGCATATGGTCAGAAGCTGAGTTCGCTGATTGTTTTCTCAGGTTATGAAGGCGTCCCGGAGTTTTTCAATGACCTCCTGAACCACATCACCAGCGTGCTCCAGAGCCACAACCCAGACTTCGCCCCTGCCAGCGAGCAGCCCAAAGGCCTGCCAGTGAGCACCACGGTACCCAACGCCGCCCCACCGGCCCCCGGCTGCTGCAGCATGCTGGGAAAAGAGGCCAGCGGCAGCCCCTGGATCGTCGAGGGTGACGGAGGGCTGAAGGGCCCGCGTCAGAGACTGGGCTGCAACTCGGCCATGTCGCCCAACTTCCAGCAGCACTGTGTCTCCACGATAGCTACCAAGGCTTCCTCCCAGTGACTGATCCCCTGCCCCCCACTCCGTTTGATCCCTGAACAAAAAAACGGATGACAATGGTGACAATAATAATGAATAATAATCATAATAATTATGATGTTAACGATGATAATATATCTAATCAAAAAACAACCCTTTTCCTATATAGTTATTGAAAATGATGATGATTGGGTGTAAGCTTTTTTCTCTCTGCCTTTTTGTATTTTTCGTTTTGTCTAATGAGACTTAACAGTACTGTAATGTGAACTTTTGGGAACTTTTGCCTAACAGCTGATTTCATTATTTTCTTGTGTGAGTGCTCTGTAATGAAAGGGTCCAGGTGAGGTAGCTAATGGGAATGGTTGAATCAGGACTTGAGAAAGACGTGCCACTAGATGTGCAATGTATGATCTGTTGTATCTCTCTCACACAGACAGAAATAAACACATACACACATACACAGGTACGTCTACATTGTGCCGGTGATGTGTGTTTGTGAAATTCTGGTCAGTACCACTGACTCCTCTGCACAAAGAGAGGGGTAGAAAAAGGTGGCTGGACATTTGAACACTACTCCACAGATCCCGGGGCTGCTATGTGACTGTGGCCAACCGACTGGCTGAGGACATAATGAGTCCGCACATGAATGACAAAGTTTTTTGGGTTTCGTTGGCTTGAACAAAAACCGTAACCGAGTGCCATCAAATTTACTTCAAGAGTAGGAAGGACCCTGGCAGAGAAAAAAACCCTGTTATCTTCATAGGTTAAAAAGAAGAAAGTAGATCTCCATGAACATGTGACCAAGTTTTTTTTTTTTTTTTTAATGATTGTTGTTGCACCAATGTTTATAGGTGTTTGAGTGGTTTAGTGTATGTCAGATGCCAGATGTTAGGCTTTCAACAAGCAAACCGCGTCCTTGTTTGAGTCCCAGTTAAGAGTCGCTCCAGTGCAGGAAGACTAGGATCACATTCCTTTTTGTGTTTGTGGATGTTTCCAGAGAATTCCATCATTTCTTTTTCAGAATTCCAGTGGGATCGTTGTGAGATTTGTCTCATCACTTTGTGGGTTTTGCAGTCTCCTTAAACAGACTCTCCACGTGTCTTCAGTGCTTGTATCTGTAACGTGAGCAAACTACTCTCCTGAGGCCAACTTGACCTATCAACAGACTTGGGGCTACTATGTAGCTTGTCACTTTTTATTGATTTTATCATCAGAAAATCAAACTTTCCACTAAAATTAAGGTTAAAAAAAGTGTTTAAATACCCAATTTGGGTATTGAATATGTTGATGCCATTAAATGACAACAGATCTAGTTAATTAAGGAACTTGTTTGACTTTATTAGCTCTCATTTAATTTCACTCGTGGTTAATGAAACCTTCAGTCCAGTCAATTCATGTGCTTCAAGCTTAAATTCTCCGACCTGTCTTCTGTTCCAGCTGCTGTATTTGTCACATGTTAACATCATTTGGAGGGAAGTGGGGGAGAGAAGGTCGAGCTCTTGTTCCCAGTGTTCACTGTGAGATTTTTTTACTCCAATTTTGTTAATATCTTTGTCCTGATATCTACTAAGAGCTACTTTATTTTATTGAGATTTTATTGGGAAAATGTTTTATATAAATGAAATGAAAGCACGAGATGTTTTTGAACAACAGTGGAAACTTACTAGAGGTATAGTAAAAATGCTGGGTCCAGGTGGTGTCAAAGGGACAAATGAGCTTGTGGTTCATGCTGTTGTCTCCCTCTAGCATCTAGTGGGAAGGAGTGCCAACCTGCAGCGCATACAGATTATTGCGTTCCCCTGAGCCTGCTTCTTCCCTTGTCCCAGAGAGCTCCCTCTAGCTGTTTCATTTCCTCCATCAGTATCCGAGGTAACTGTCCCCTCGCTCGCCCTGTGATCGTAAATAATAGTGTCAGCGCAGCCATCTCACCAGCATCTCTCTGGGACAAAGGAATACCAATGATATTCTGAAAAGTGCTTTTCACCAGACACATCCTGTTGTGAGAATATTTCTACAACTCAGTTAATATCTTGTTTTCATTTCCTACAATTTGAGTGTCATGAAGCAGTAAATTCAAAATATAAAGGTTTTGCAGCAGGTTCACGGGAACCTTTCACATCCTTGTACCCCCCTTGATTCCTCATCTACAAATAGGGGCAAAGTTAAGGGTGTGTCCGTTTTAGGTTGATATCTGTGTACACCACTATATTGTGTGTCCTATGTTGTGTTCCTTATCGTGCTTCTAAATGGGAAATAAATGGTTAATCCTACCCTTGGTCATTTCTGCAACCCAGACAGCGTCATCATGCTCCTGGCTTCCACCTGAATGTTTACGTCTTGGGTGTCTTGTACAGTACGTGTATATATGCCTAGGCTTACATGCGTACAGTATGTTGTTTTGTATCAGTTCTGTAATTGAGAGGAATCCACAATTTTGTGATCTTTTTTTAATTAAATGGCCAAAACAACAGGGCAATAAACATGTAAAAACCTTACCTGGCTCTATTTAATTCAGCTTTCGTTTTCCCGACTGATCATTTGTGAGTCGATGCCGTCTTGTCCCGTGTTTCATGTAGAATATCACAACTTGAGACCACAAGCCAAAATGTCTCTTAATTCTGCTCAATGTGCAATCTACATCTGCATGTTTATGAGCTTTTTTGATGTATTACATTTTTGTATTACTGAAACCATAAGGTAGCTCTTAAAACTTTAATTTCTTTCATGAATATATCAAGTGCACCCAGCCTCCAGATGTTTATTGCCTCAGCATTTACATATCACATTTCATAGAATTGGAGACACAGTAAGTGACACATGTCATAACACAAACAATGCAAACAGAGATGCTATACAAAATGGTCGCGTATTAAAATAAAATATATCTTTTCATAATCTTAATCTTCTGTACATGTAAAAAAACAAAAACAAAGATATATTTACAAGAACACCAGACAAAAGTACAAAGCTTTCTAATGCTACTTTCTGTTCCCTGCAAGACCACTGTGCTGCTGGGATGTTTTTTTGTTGTTTTTTTTTTTTTTAAACACACTGTTAATGAGATTGTAGATGATGCGATGTCGGGTTGGCCAACAGTCCCAGGATGGTGGAGAGACAGTGCAGCTTCTCCTTGACGTGCTCTGGCAACTTCTCGTTCTCCTTATACCTGTGAAGAAAACAAACATCAGTGAGAGCAGCTCGAGCTGTCACCTCTACAGTCCTGCAAACATATAAAATCACATACTGTAGCTAATACACACACACAAAGTGATAGAACACATTTCAAAACATGGTTCGTACCTGGTGATCCTTCCCTCTGGAGACGTGTAGGTGATGCAGGAAACTCCGGCCTGAACCACCAGCTGAGACCCGTCATTGAACTGGACCCACACCTCTCCGCTCGTCAGCTACAGACACAAAACAGAGATTCAGCCTTTTCAATCACACACAATTCCTGTGCTGAATATAGAATATTAGGTTCATTTTTGATTTCTCAATTACCTGTGATGCCCAACCAACATTGGGCACAAATATCGATTTAACCACTTTTCCTGTGCTTTGTCCCAGGTCCTGTCGCACTGGGGAGCTTTTCTTATTCAGACTGGCTGTGGTGAAGTCAGACCCGTTATAGGAGATCATCTGGGGGAAAAAATAATAAATAAGACAAATTTCATCATAGTCCAGCTGTTTAAGCCATCTGTCCATACGTCCTAAAGCATAGGGCAGCAGTTCTCAACTGTCTCACCTTGGGACCCACATTACCCAATGGTCATTAGGACGCAACCCACTTATATAATACGGCTAGATATACAATGTCATCTTTTTTTAACATTAAATCGAAACATAATGTCATCCCTGCAGTCTGAGCACATTACTCTAATAATAACGGAGTATGGAAATCAACAGTGTGATGCTGATTTTTGACTTTTTACACACAAAATAATAAGGCCTACAAAATAGGGCTTATTCGCTTAACAGACATTTGTGGAAGCTTTCCTGTCAAAATAAAAGACATCAGATAGCTTTAAAATAGAAGTGTTTTTTTGACCACACACTCAGAACAAGTCCCACCAGTTGAGAAAGCATGGTGTGGGGCTGTGAGACACTCACTGAAGGAGTGATTTGCGGAGGTTGAGGAGGTGAAGCTGTATCGGGAGGAACTGCGTGAGAGGGCAGGGACAATGAGCCTGCGGAGTCTGGGTTGACAGGTCTCCTAGGTACACAAAAATAACAAACATCAGCCACACAAGGCAAGAAGGACAACAATAGCACCAATAATATACAAAAATCGGAAGCTCCTCTCACCTGCCGATAGTAATGGGGAAGAAAGGGACGCTCTTGGTGCTGCGTTGCTCCTCTGCTGTGATGGCGGCCTCTAGGGACAGACACATGCTGTGACCCTCGTCAGACAGCTCCACATACAGCCTGCTCTCTGGGCTCAGGCCGTTCAGCCCCACCTCGCCCTTCACCGTGTACGACTTCCCGCTCTTCTCCACCACGCGCACCAGCTCTGACGTCTTGTGGGTCTTTGCTCCTACACAACGTGAGTATTTATGGCGCATTACATATTAACTCCGAGAGTTAGTGCAGCCTCTCCCTCAGCAGGGTCACATGTTTCAACATACACATTTGACTCACCATCATAAAAGCAAACCTCCAGGTCTGCTTTCGGAGAGTTCTCCATCAGCATGACCTTTGCGTACTTGGTGTAAAGGGTCACTTTTGGAGTCTTGGATTTCACAAGCTGCACAAACTTGGAGGCGTACTGGTACTTCTTCCAGTATTTCTCTGTAAGAAAAAACAAATCATTAACATGTAATTTCTCATATTATACAAACTGAGGTTACTGGGTGTCAAGCAACCGTCAGAATACCTGGAAGGTCCTCGTAGCTACAAATCAGAATATCTTCTGGTGGAGCGGGAGGACAGTCCAGGACAGGAAAGCCCTTTCCACCATTAGGCTGGTATATTGTCACCTACAAGAGATGATAGTAATAAGCTATATATGATATCATGCCACCAGCCTTGTGTCATTATGTTGCTATACTAGCCCCTACCAGTGACACATAGCAGGTGTAGGAGAGATGCTTTAGAGTTCAATAGAGTGAGCTCACCATTGAACCATCACCGGAAATCCGAAGGACTTCTTTCACCCTCTCTTGTCCGCTGTGGCATTTTAACAGCTCCATACACACTTCACCCGTGTCCAGGATGCTCACCTGCAGGAAATACAAGAACAATAAATTAGACATCAATAATTACACAGTGAACATTATCAGATAATAAAAGGTATGAGTAATGTCTTACAACAGCGTTTTTGGTCTTCTGTCTGATAGGCTTCAGTCTGGACGCACACAGGGGCGGGACTACGTCTCTCAGCGTTTTCTTCTCCACGCTGGGCTTTGCCGAAGGAAGCTTTGACTCTCTGCCATGAGGAGGTTGGAATTCTGCTCCGGGTATGTTTTCCCTGTACGAGTCAGAGTTGGAGGGAAGGTTGTGGTGCATGTGGTGCTGGTTGTGGTGAGGGTTTCCACCTCGGCCCGACGGCTTGTCTGTCCAGGAATTGTGAACCCCTAAAGGTCCTCTGCTGCTGTGGAAGCTGCCGCTGCTGCTGTGAGCGCTGCCGTCTGCGGGCTTGTGCCCAGAAGCTGAGACATAAAATATTTGTGAACATTTGCTCAAGCAGGGTGGGTTTAATTGAGTTAAGAGAGATCCATTTTTTTAAATCCTCAGTGATAAAACAATGCTGAAATCAATCACATACGCACACATAATCAAAAAGCAAAAAACAATCAGTTTTACCTTCATTATTAAGCCAATTTGTAACTCCCTCGAGGTCTTGAAATTGCAAGTTTGGTGGATGTGCAGTCTGTGTGGATAATGAATACCCAGAACTGAAACAGAAAGAGCAGTCTTTAGTTAGTCTCATTAAATTTGTAACAAAAAATGAATAGAAGAAGATCATGAATAGACAGACTTCTTACTTTGCAGACTGTTTGACAGGGGGAGAGGGAATCCTTCCACGCTCTGAAAATGGATGTTGACTTGAGGACATGGGGAACACTGGTCTTCCTAAACCAGTCAGAGTCTCCTCTGAGTGGCATCTCCCAAGTTCAGCGTGACCCAGCCCCTGGGCTGATGCTGAGGAGCCGGAGCGATCTGAAGAGTGCGCCCTCCTCAGGTAACGAGAGTGAGGCTGTCCGTCCTCACCACCGTAAACCCCCCTGTTCCTGCCCTCTCTGTGAAATCTGTCCGCCGGATGCTGCTGCTGCTGCTGCCACTGGTCTCCGTCCTCAAAACAGGCACTGCTGGGTTGGTGTGGAAGACTTGGAATGGGTGCCATGCGATTAGGCAGCGCAGAGCCAATCATGTGCCTGGTTCTCCTCTGGAGGCGGCTGCCGCTGCTGGCTGAGGTAGAGGAGGTGCAGGCTGTGGAGATGGTGGCAATGCCGCTGTCCATGGATCCATCATCCCCCATTCCCAGCTCCTTTGTCCTGACCAGCAGGCTCTGGGTCATAAACGGGTGGTCCAGCACCGCAGAGAGGCTGGGCCGCTGGGCGGGGTCCCTCTGCAGCAGCTGATGGATCAGGTCCTGAGCCTCTAAAGAAACATGGCTCGGCATTTCATATTCCCCAAGAACCACTTTAGACAGCGTGTGCTTGACTGTGTCCGTGTCAAACGGAGGGCGACCCATCAGGAAGGCGTAAAACATGCACCCCAGGGACCAGACATCGGATTCAAGACCATGAGCACTGCGAGTGACCACCTCCGGGGAGATGTAGTTGGGTGTCCCGCACATGGTGAAGTGCTTTTCATTCGGGAGCTTGAGTTGAGTGGCCAGGCCAAAGTCTGCTATCTTAATGTTCATGTTGCTGGTGAGCAACAGGTTTGACAGGGTCAGATCTCGATGCAAGATGCCATGGGTATGTAAATACAGCATCCCCTTCAATATTTGATGCATGAAATGTCTTGCTGTGGAACAAAAACAACAAAAACTATTTCACAAAATTGAACCTCACCAAAACATTTACTGCAAAATGTTCCCCATTTAATTTTCAGAGTAAAATGGTTCTGTCTGACCTTCATCCTCAGAGAAAGGCGCCGTCCGCTCTTTAAGGTGCCGACTCATCTCTCCGTTGTGGCACATCTCCAACACCAAGTACACATAGTTGCTGTCCTCAAAGTAGTTGTACAGCTTAAATAAAGACACGATACATAATACAGTATTAATGATCATGTCAAAGTGAGATTAAAGGAAAACTGCAACAAAATGTAGAGCACACGTGACTGAACTGGATTCTAAACTAATTTTGCTGTGGTCCAGAAACGTTGTACCAGTGGCACAAATGAAATATCACAAAGTGTACAGACAAAGCAAAAGAGCCTGCTTTACTCAATCCTCCTCGATGTCCAACTCGAGAGTGAAGGGAAGTGGGAAAAAAAGTGGAAGAGCAGCTTTAACACTGAACAAAGTAATTACAAGAGGTAGGGGCAAGTTGTCCACATTACATTACCATGACGACGATAACACAATGCCGATATACACAGACTGAAACACAGCCGATATACGCAGATTTTGAGCAGCAACTGTAACTGTAGAGGGGCTTTTTTTATGTTTTAAAAAAAAAAACTCTTTACAAGCAGTGTTGTTTGCCTTTAACTGAATATTCTTGGTACATTGTAAAGTCTGTTTCTACTTAAAGTAACAGAATGAAAAATCTCAGAGGGAACAAGTAAGTGCCACAGCAGACTATATAAGGTGTAATAATAACTCACAGTAGTCCGTCACAAGACATGAATTGTGTCCAGCCAACGTTACCTCAAGTATTGAAGGATGTTTCAGTCTGCACTGAATCTCCACCTCGTTTGTCACACGCTGGACCATGCCAGCTTTGTGCATTGCTTTTTTGTCAATCTGCAGAGGAGAACAACAGAGGTAATTATACAGCTGCCGCTCGCAGCATCAACGTGTTATGTGGCACAGTGATTGGGTCTGGTAATAGTCAATCTGTCCCCCACAAAGACAGCAAACCATTCAGACCTCATTTGTGGGGAGTCGAGGGACCACAAGGAGCCCCTGGGAGGCAACTAAAGACTAATAATCCAACAGTTCCCGTTCACACTTCAACTGTCGGTCGCCGGTAACAGCTTGGGTGTAAATTACAGGCAGAGCGTGCTATCATTACCTCATGTCACTGACTAAGATGAACGGTGGGTGAGCGATTCTTACCGTTTTGATGGCGACCTCCAGACCAGTCTTTGCTGATTTCGCCCTGTAAACACACGCAAAGGAGCCTTTTCCCAGGAGGGTGAGGACCTTAAAGTCCTACATGAGAAGACAGACAAATAAACACTGAGTGTTACACACAATACACTGTATTTGCAGAGACATATAACTACGATATCAGATTTCAAAATAATACTATTTTGATCCCATGACAGACAGGATCTTTAAAAGCACCATACCTCGATCCTGAGCTCCTGAGCATAAGAGAAACCCCTCTCCTCATCAAGGTTTTGGAAGTAATAGTGAATAACTTGATCAAACATCGTCCCTCGAGCCTGCGACATGCTGGGTGTGAAGGTAAAACAGACAATCCAGCATCTAACGACTTCACCAAGGAGAAATACTCCCACAACAAACGTTAACTGTCAAACAAGCCACCAACACCTGACGCTGTCATTATGGCCAACCAAAGCCTTTAATTATCCCGGCTCTCCTCCCGCGACCGAGGACCACTTGTAGCCGTTTCCAAGCAGCAAGCTGAATTACCAAAGCGACGCACAAACAACAGGTTTGTCCCTGAAGAGTGAGCTGAGGTTACACACAGGCAACATAATGCTGACAACACCGACAGCAACAATAACAATAACACTACTACTCAAACTACTACTAATAATAATAATACCAAC